CACAATGCTTGAGAAAGGAAAAGGAAGCAGGAAGAGAGGAGGACAGGGAAAAGCAGCATATGTGAGGATCTAATTAACACTGAACCCAAGGCCCCCACTCTCCCCCAAAAAAGCAAAACCACTGAATAGCTCTAAGAAAAGGCCAGAACGTAAGTATTAATCAAGCGACTGGTAAAACGCTGACTGGACACAAGTCGCATAAAAATGCTTAACTAGACTATGCTTTCTGATTCTCTCACATAAAACATTTATCTGGCCTCCCCCACTTCTACTTTGGAAGCTTACAAATAGAAGGGGCAGGAAGAGGAAGTGTCTCACCTACTAGACTTCCACTGGTGGAGACAGGGCTCTGCCTCCCACCAAGGCTCATACAAACAAGAATCCCACAAAATAGGAAAGTTTAGAATGCTTGGCAGTAAAAAGTCCCATGTCTATCCTATTACTACTATTCAATAGAACACAGACTTTGTCACTACGCAAAACACTAACGTTGGCTGCTTTGTCTTCTTAAAATAAAAATCTACTCTATAGCCAGGTATTTAAGAAATACTCCACCAAATGCATCCCTCGGACATCCTAAACCTAAAACTTCTCCTGCCAAGCCACATCCCCACTCTTCTCCCAGTAAAGCTGACATGCATTTCTGACTGAAAGCCTTGGTCTCACCATCCCTGTCATGTGAAATATCACTTCCCTTCCTATCCCTTATTATTAAGACCCAGGTTGAAGTCCTCCACCTGCTCCTCCATGAGGTCCCAAAACACTCCAGTGCACACCGAGTCACAGACACAATTCCTGCACCGGCAGGCAGACAACATAATCATGATACAGTCTGGTATAATGTAGGTAAATGGTGAGAGTGTGGGCAACTAGAGTGGGTTTGCCCTATCTAAAGACTTTCAGGTTCAAAATTTTTTAAGACATTGCCTTAGAAGCTAATATATTAGGTGCCTCTTGGTAAGGGAACTGAGTGGCGAGGGAAGAGAGGTGGAAGAGAAACATTTCATTGCACATAATCATTTGTACTTTGTAAATTTTAAACCACATGAAAATGTTACCTTCACAAAATACACAAAATTGAAAGACAAAAATGAGACAGAACTCAAAGACTGTCCGTGTAATTTACTGTTAAAGGTTAATCTTGGTTAATTAATTAAATACTACCTTGGTTCTGCCATTTATTTTTTTCCACATATGAATACTCTATCAAAAGAGATTGCAAAGTTAGGGAGGAGAAGAATCATGTCATATTTCTTTTTTATCTCCTTTATTGCCTTGGACTGAGGAATACATGTGATATGTATTTAATATTTGGAATCCTAAGAGCTTAGAATTTAAAACGTTCTTAAAGATCTAGTCCCTCCTTGTCATTTTATAGATGAAAAAGCTGATGCCAGACAGGCTAAGGAACTTATCCAGCTATTAGAGGACAAGAATCTATGACCTGATGAACTGAGTAAAAACAAAAAAAAACAAAAACAAAAATCACAGGCACACATTCTAAGCTTTACTGAAAAAATAAAGAATTCCACTAGAGGGAGCCAATAGTCCATTAACTTAAAGGTGAGGTTCCTAAAACAATTTCTATACATTAGCTCTCAACCACTGCCGCTGAGCCAGTGAATTTCTCTCTGTAAACCATGAACACCTTCTGGGTTACAAGTAGCCACCAGGGTTTGTATCACTAGTAAGAACAGGTCAAGAGCCAGGTGCAGGCCCCAGACTAGGGACCCCAGCATACTAAAGATCTATGCTAGGCCGACACCTTCTTTATTAAATAGTCCCAAACGAGCAATTATCATAATACACACTTCAATTTTTATATAACCCATAATATTAGGTTTAAATAATTCTATATAATTGTCTGTTCACATACATTAATAGGCAGACTCAATGATCAGTTTGGAATTTCTTTAAATAGAACATTCCTGGTGTTTTATTTAGATGCTTCAAAGAGAAAAGTGTCTGGTTCTCTGAGGATGAATATCTACCTGTCTTCCTCACAGGGCTGTCATGAAGATTAAATGAGATCGTGGAAGGGAAGCTGCTTCATAAACTGAAATTTCTTACAATAGTACAAAGTAGTATACAACTGGCTCTCATTAGAAGTCTAGGGCCATGAAGTTTTGTTAGACCCAGATGACAACCTCAGACTCAACTATGAGGACTCTTCAGTGAACTATAGTCTTCACTAGCATCAAATCCAGAACTCCTTCTAGTTAATAGTATTAGAACGTACATGTAGTCACAAAACAAACATGACATACATTTTTTTAAAACTAAAAATAAAATTTGACACATTCTAAAAAAAAAGCTTAACTCATCATCTCTGTTATAATTCTCCAGCATACATGTGTATATACAATCTGTATTTTAAAAATACTATAAGAGCCTTTATATTTCATGTTGCTTTGTCTAACTATGTCTTTCTGTAACTCACAGACCCAGGAAACTACCTATCCCCTGAGATACTTATAAAAACATTTAGGCTGATTTTTACCTTACCTCCTTTACTTGAGAACTTCCTGAACAAGACAGCTGATCATTTAATATGTATTACATAGTACTTAACACATTACTAGAATTCTGTGTATAAACACATGTTGACTACACCAAATGTTTCTTGTTTTATTATTCTGTGTATTTACTCATTCACTCACTAATTCATTTAAGAAGCTAAGCCAATCTCATGTTGTGAAATGAAGGCTGTCTGGCGTACCACAAGAACACAGACTTCAGAAAGAGACCTCAAAGCAAATCCTAACTCTTTCACTATTAGCTGAGTGGCTATGGAAAAATTAGTAACTTTGGTCTTATTAATTTCCTAATCTTTAAAATAGGATACCATCTACATCTACAGATGTTGAGTTAAATGACAATTATGTAACAAGTCTGATACATGACAGGTGCTGTAAAATTTTAGTTCCTTTTTTCCCAGCAAGAACTCTCAGCTGTCTGTTCCAGCCCTCTTGATAATACTTAAAAAGGTTCCTCTTCCATAAAGCTTGTTATTTAGAAGCACATTCTGGAATTTCTTCCCCTTACTGACTTTCCACCTATTTTCAAATCTAATCTGCCTCTAGGTCCTAATCCCCCCCCAGTCTGCCTTTTATTATAATTATAATTCAACTACAAAAAGCAGTTGGAACTAGAGCAAGTAGGGCAGCCTGCCCTCACTCTTCCCTGGAGCACTAGCATGTAACCATGACGAACCTCAGCGCCAGTCCCAGAAGCTGTAAGGGTGCTACAGCTGCCTCCACATTCATCAGCTTACTCTCAAATCAAGGCGCATGCTCCTTAACAGGTGATTTACACGTCTACATAGATTTCATCCTGGATTAATCTGAGAACATCAAACATCAGGGGTTAACTTACAGAATTCCACTCAGGAAAATGGAAAGCTGAGTTTTCATGTGGTAAATAATGAAAGAAAATACGGCCCCCTTTATGACTCACAAGTTTTATATAAGAGAAACTGGGGGGTGGGGGAGGATCATTATTTCATGGACCAACTTAATCTGTGTGTACACTCTGTTTTTTTAAAGGGGAATACATGAGGAAGTCTTCATATTGAAGAGAACAGTAAGTGCTGGGTGGTTGCTCCTAGGGCCTGATCCTGTTTTAATTCTGATGACTTTTAAAGCCTCATGGGACTCCATGAGAGCTACCCAATTTAAGGTCAAAAGAGAACAGATTGGAAGTTGCTCATCCAGGGAATATTTTAGAAGTTTGCTGGCTAAATCTTGATGGTGTACAAGCAATTAGTTTCCCAGGAGAAATAATCACTCAAGAATCCCCAATGAAGCACAGCACGTGAAACCAGGGCTGCTGCTTCTACTGCTTGATTGTAATAAGCACTATGGTCTCAAATAGGCTAAAATCACCCATAATTTTAATTAAAAGCTGGATCAGCAAGCCAGAAATAACTGCCAAATGGAGAGACGACTAATTGCCCAAATAACAATCTTGATATCTAGAAGCTGAAGATTGCTAATGAAACTCCATGAGGAATTAGATTCTAAATGTACAACAATGTCTGGTCCTAGCCTTGACAATGGCGACCCGCCTCTCCCTGCTCTGCAGCCCTTCTCAGTACCTAGTCTCAGAGAAGCCAAAGAAATGGTTCAGGTATGAAAAATCAGGTTTTCAATGCTCAAAACCAAGTGTTCCAGTGGCCGCAAAATGCCCTCATTAAATGTGTTGTAAGAACATTCTTTATTTTTCTATTGGAGTAAAAAAAAGCAAATATTAAGAGTCCATTTTCTCCATTTTTTTTAATCCCCTGTTTCTTAGCACTTTGGTAGGCCTCTCTGTAGATAAGTCAGCAATTCCTCTTTCCTGAACTTGTGTGACTTCATCCCTCGTTAGTCCTCTCCCATTTCCTGAATATTAGGTAGATCCTTCCACCTCCAGCAATAACGGCCTAGCATGCAGTGGGAATGGAAGTAAAAGCAGAGTCCATTTCCCTCAGATTATCTGGTGGTAAGTGTCCAATCATAAAATAGCACTGAAACATGAGCAAAAATCTTTGATGGAAAGCAGACATGAATTGCCAAGGTTAATCTGATACATCAGGGAATTACAGTACAATTCTTCATATGAACCTTGAGCTCTGCTTAAAGATCAGACACACTCTGCCACTAACCCCCTGAATATATACATTCTAATTGCTCACAAAGGCCCAACCCAGAGCTATCATTTCACTCATTTTAGATTCTCTAGAAGTACAGTCCGTCTCTTGGGTGTACAAAAGGCATGAAAAGATTTCCTTACTGAAAAATCACTGCAACAAAAGACTGCTATGAAATGCTCTATGAAGCCAAGAAACATTGCAATCCGTTCTATTATAACACATTCAGTTATCCACTCAATAAACCACAAGAAGTATCACTCCATGGACAAGGTATATCCCTTCACATGAGGAAGTTTCAACAGACTCTGACCAGATCCACTCCTCCTTCCTGTACTGCTCCCCTTGAGGGTTTACTGGTTGCCATTACCTGTACAAGTGACCATTATCTTCAAAATCTTCCTGACCCCATTTTCCCTTGATGTCTTCAATAACATGATTCTTCAGGAATTTTTTAAGCAGCTGGACAGTTTGTTTGCGGGTCACTTCGGGGCCAAAGTTTTGACTGCACCTCAGCAGCTCATGTAACCAATCCACAGCTTCAGCTGCTGTGAAGCAATGTTCATAACTTTTGAAACGACAGCGATGTTTTCGTAATGGCATTTTAGCGCGAAAAAGTTCAACCGTTTCATTCCACTAAGAGAAAAATAAGAGAAAGGCATTTAGTAATTGACTGATTTCATTAATGGTTATTACACCTCGAATACGTAAAACAATGCAATTTTTTCTATTTAGAAGACTGCTTTAATAATAGATGGAGTCTTGAAATTTTTATATTTCAAGCTTCACGCTCTAAAGAAAAAGTAACTTTTTAAAATGAATTTATTCACTTAATATTTACTGGAGATATTGCCATCAAGTTTTCCTATTATTTGGCACTCGCATAAAAGAACCTCCAAATTTACCATAACATATGGTTATGTAGGAATCATGAGACCCTATGTGAAGACACTTGGCCCAGCTAACAGCCAGAATCAAGTCAAGTGGCCATTTTAAACCACCAGTTCTAGTCAAGTCACCAAATAGATGATGATGGCACATGAGTGATCCCAATAGAAGAACCACTGACATAAGCTCAGCTCAGACTGCTGACCCACAGAATTGTGAGCAAGTAAATGCTTGTATTAAGCATAATGAAACGATGCCACAGATTCCCCAAGTCTACTGAATTCATATGTAAAATATCATGAGTATGTGGCATGTGTACTTTTCTGTAAAAAGGAGATAATTTTTATCAGATTCTCAAAGTACCTTATGAGTCAAATAAAAAAGTAAAGAACCATCTGCCCTAACCATGATTTCTTCTTTTAGAAGCTGGCCTTCTTAGCTCTGGCTTGACTCCACTGGCCATAGTGTAACTGGCTCTAGAAAGAAAAGGAAACTATTTCCCACTGTCCCACCGTCCTCATCTCTTCCACATATACAATTCTAGCCAAATGAGAGTTTGGATCTTAATTCCCATCTTCTCCTGGATAACTATCAGGATGCACAGAACAATGAGACTAATTCCCAAGATGTGGCCAAGACATGGTGACAGACCAAGGAGCGAAGTCCCTTCCTCCAAAATTATCATTATGCTTTCATAGAAAGCTGTTTAAAAACCTGCAATGGATATACCAAATGGTCACCACTTATTTCATTATGGTAATCCTTTGAAACAGCAATCACTAAAATTAATTGCTCCAAGTCATAAGGAAATCAAGTACACCTCTCAGAATTCTGAATACCAAAGCTCTTATCCCAGGAGAAAAGACAGCACCTCTGACCTTCGGGGTCAGCAAAGGATCTTCAGACCATCCAACCAGGTCAACTCCTCATTTAGGTGGGTGCTGACAGAAACAGAAACGCCAGGGGTCGGAAATGTGGCCAAGGAAATCCACCTCTGTTCAGGGCACCGTTAGAAAGAACCTCAAGTGTCACCACAAGAGACACGCAGGACAGAGACACGCCCTGCCCGGAGGGCAGCGAAGGGGGAGCATTACAAGGTGTGAGTGGCCTTAGGGTTACGGATCAGGTCTTTTCTCTCCCGGACACAGAGGTCAGACTCCAGAACACAGAAGCTGGAGGGGCCGG